ATCCAGCTCCTTCGTTGTGCCCACACTGACTGTCTCGGGCCTGACCCTCGAGGCGGTGGTGACCGAGGGACAGCCCCGAGCGGGGCCTTTGTGACCTGCCCGTCCTGACAAGAGCCCAGTCCTCTCCGACGGGGACCTGTGTCTTACCTGGACCTGTCCCCGTCCTCACTCTGGGACCAGGACCCCTGTGGCATCTGCTCCCCATCACAGCTGCCCTGACCCTGGCCCCGAGGACCCCGCCCCGTCCCGATGGCTCCTGAGGCAGTGTCCTCGCAGCTGTGGTCCATGAGCACAGAGGGCCAGGCCCAGTGGGCCTCGCCCTCCCAGGCTGACCTGTCTCTCCCTCTCTCTGGCACCTTCTACCAAGTGGGGAACCCAGGGACCCCCTGAAATTGCCTCCCCTCCGTGAGGGAGCAGTGGGATCGCAGTGCACTCTCCAACCTCCTGGTCCCCAGTGCTCCTTCGTGTTCCGGAGAGGACCCCAGAAACCCTGTCACTCAGGGAGGAGCAGACCCAACTCTGTGCGGGCTGCCCTCGTGTGGCTCTGACAGTCTCCAGTTCCTGCCCGGGTTTGGATTCTCTCTCCCGTGAGAGCCCGTCCTCACGTGCCCTGTGGGATCCTATGGAACAGTGAGGAACTGGGCTGGCTCTGTGACCTGGTGGTCAAGGGACCCACATGGCCAATCTCGGTTCTAGTCCCAGTCCCGGTGACTTGGGCAACATGCCAGGCATGGGTGTCTGGGCGTGTGGGATCTTGGGGTGGAGAAGTGGAGGAGACGGGGTTGCAGCATGACCGTGCTCCCCAAGAGTTTCTTCTTCCCAACCCCTCTGTCTGTCTCTCTCTGGTGAGCACATGTGCCCTCTGGCAATTTTTAAAAAAAGTTTTTGCCATTTGGCACATGTGCTTGCTGGTGAGGAGGAGCCGGAAATCACCCCACACACACATGGGAATAGCCACATTGCCATTCGTTCTCTTCCTCCATTCTCCTCTCAGGAGTTTGAGCACACACACATACACATGCACACACACACATACACATACACACACACACATGTGCCTAGCATGATTTTGAAGGCTCCAGGTCTGGAACTCGAACCTTGGTTGGCCATAGTGTGAATCCAGCGCCTTAGCCACCATGCCACCTGCTGCCCCCACCCTAGCAAAAACTTGAAAATAAAATAAAAATAAGAGTGAGGAACTGAAATCGACTTGATGTCCCTGGATGTGTGAAGGGAAGACCTTCCTCTAGTCCAGGAGGCTTCACGACAGGCTGCTCTCCGGGGAGTCCGACGGGGGAGGCTCTGTCTAGATTCCTCTCCTGCTCATTCCATCCCGACAGTGACCTGGTCTGTGAGTCAGGGCTCCACAGGGGACAGGGATGGGAGACCAGGTGGGGTCAGAGTCCTGACTCTGTTTTTCCCTCAGCCCCAACCAAAAGGTCCAGCCCTGAGAGACCCACACTGGGTCGTCCCACCATCCTGCCAGCGGGCACCTGGCCCACCGCAACCAGACAGGACACCTCGGATCCCAGCCCACAGTCCCGGTAAGGAGCCTGCGGGACCAGGAACCTGGGGGGCATCTTCTCTAGTTCGGGGTGGGGGGGGTCGGGGATTCCTGTTTCTCTTCTCCTGGCCCCTCCTTTATTGACTGATCTCACTCCCAGTTAAGGGATTCCTGCTAAGGACCGGCCTTGGGGATAGCGGTTAAGGGGGCCTGATCCCCCATGACTGACCAAGGCTCGAGTCCTGGTCCCAGAGGTTTGAGCAAGCCAGGCACGTGTGTGGGTGTGCAAAGCCCCAACAGGATGGAGAAATAAGAGACAAAATTGCAAAGTGGCCAGGTCCCATTGAGGGTGTTTTATCTCTCTCTCTCTGTCTGGCAAGTGCACATGCCCTTTGGCCAAAAGAGAGAGAGAGAAAGAGAAGGAGGAGGAGGAGAGGATAGGAAGGGGAAGGAGGAGGAGAAAGAGGAAGAGGAGGAGGAAAGGGAGGAGGAAAATGAAGAGAAAGAAAGAAGAAGTTGTTTCTATGAAGTGCCAGGCCCTTTTTCGGGATGGGGCCATGGCAGAAAACCACAGAAACCCGCCCCTGCTCTGATGGGAGCTGTGTCCCTCCGGGTGGTTCTGCATGGTGGACAAGCCAGCGCAGAAGTCATGTGACGTGGCAGTCTGCGATGAAAACTGGGAAGAGATAGTTCCCACTTGGGTTTGGGGACAATGTGTGGGGGATGAGTCGCTATTTTATGCATGATGAGCAGGGTGGGGGCCGCAGGGCAAAGGGAACGGGGCACCAGAGAGCTGAGGAGAGGCAGTCCAGGCAGAGGGTCAGAGTGACTGCGGAAGTCCTCTGAAGGACCCTCAGGACACACCAGGCAGGGCCGGGAGCCAATGCTGTGGGCTCCGCTGGCCCCACACTCTCTGCTCTCTCCCCTGCTGACCCAGAGCCCGCTCTCATTCCATTCTGTTCTGATAAGTGTCTGAGGCAGGTGGCCCTGAGCTGGGTCACTCAGTCACGCCATCGACAGCCATGAGCTTTGCAGGCTGCTGTGTAGGCACAGGGCAGGTCCCACAGCCCGTGCACACGGGAGCAAGGCCCTGACCATGGGAGTGCCGTCCAGAGGGCAGGCCTTGACTCCATTGCTTCCTTACTGACTCCCAGCCCCAGAGAGCAGCCGCACAGTGCAGAGGCTCGCGTAGACATACCCTGGACGGGACCTGCCCGGGTCCCTGGGTCTCCCCTCATGTCACTCTCCTGGGTATGCCCACCTCATGCCCACAATCCTAAGTCTCAAGGGCTTGTGCGTGTGTGTACGTGTGTATGTGCACGTGTGTGTGTGTGTGTGTGTGTGTAGTGTGGTTTTACTCTTTTTAGACAGTCTTATCAGGTTGAAATCCTCCACCCTCTGCTCCCTGAAATAACAGGGACTTGGGGCATGGCCACCGTGCTGGGCCTTAGGGTGGCTGGAAACGGGTCTGGGGCCTCCTAGTCTTCAGCCTGCTGAGCAGCAACATCTGGCACCTGTGGCGAAAGCTGGGCCTCCTGGGTCAGTCGTAGGATGACAGTTCAGGCCCACTGGCCCCTTGTATCAGGCTGCCTTGTCCACGCGGTCTTGAGCTGGTTGTTGAGGCCACAGGGTCTTGGCATAAAGGGACACGGGAAAGTGGAGGGACCAGGAGGGCTCCCCAGGGGAGGCGGCTCACTGTCCCCATTTACCACCACAGGCCCCTGCCCAGCAGCATCCACTTCCTGCTCCTGGTCTTCCTGAAGCTGCCCCTGCTCCTGAGCATGCTCAGTGCTGTCCTATGGATGAACAGGCCTTGGAGAACCTGGGGGAGAAGAGTGGGCCTGATAATGAGAACCAGGAGCCCCGAAACCCTCTGATGCCCTGTCAGGAAACAGCTCCCTGTTGTGCAGGAGAAGGACCTTCTGATCAGTAATTCCATGTTTATCTCAGAATGTTGTGGACTTTTTTTGAAGTGTATCATACACAGAAAAGAACACATACGCTTGGGAACCAGCAGTTAGCGTAATGGCTATGTCTCTGGACTCCCACGTAGTCAACCGCGGTTCGTGTCCCGGACCCGGTGGCTTAAAACTCACGCCGGGCGCATGTGCGTGCGTGCCCAAGATCCCGAGAGGAGAATGGAGGAGAAGGGATTGCGGCGTGACCATCCCCCCTGGGGGGTGATTTCTCGCTTTCTGTCTCTATGTCTCTCTCTGTCTGTCTGGCGAGCGCACGCGCCCTACAGTGAAAATCTCTCAAAAAAAAAAAAAAAAGAACACATACGCTGTAAATAAGAACACTCTGCAGTCCTTGTGTACCCAGTACTAAGGTCTGGATGATGCTTTATCCCCCAAAGGCTCATGCTCTGTAACTTGGTCCCTTGCATAATGGCATTGGAGGTGATGAAACCTTTAAAGGTGGGACCCAATGAGAGGGCATACTGACAGACAAGATTGGCAAGTGAGTCAGTGGGCTGAGACAGGAAGACCCCCTTCAATGTGCACCGACACGGTGCAATGAGCTGGGGGTGCCGGATGGACGAGCAGGGGAAGTGGAGCTTCTATTTCCTGTCTTTCTGCATGCACCCCCGCTCTGCTCCTGTCGTCTATGTTGTGGTGTAGACCAGTGTCTGGCCTGATGCAGGCCCACACCTTTCCAGCCACCAGAACTGTGAACCAAATAAACCTCTATTCTTTTCTTTAAATTGTGTACTCTCTCTCCAGAAGGAGAGACTGAGAGCAAGAGAATGACAAAATTGTCTCTGATAGGGTGTGGTCACACCACAATCCCTTCTCCATTTCTCCCTCCTGTGGGGACTGTGGACACCGATGCATTCGCCTAGCATGTTTTTCAAGCTACCAGGGTGGGATCGGAACCACAGTTGGCCATGCGGAATCCATCTGCCTTTACTGCTAGGCTTCAGGAAAGATCCTAAGCCTCTATTCTTTCTAAATCACCCTATCTCAGGTCACAGTCATAGATTAAGATCCCCACATCCCAGCCTTAGAGATATAAATCACTCATATGTATGGGCCATAAATCCCTTTCTTATGTGCTTTCTTTTCTATTCTTGAGGGAACAAAATCCTGAATTTTATGTTCATCATTTGCTTGTTTTAAGGGCTTTGCCAAGTATGCATACACACACGGATGTCCAAAGGGCATATTGTTTAGCTTTTCTCTTTTGTGACCTTTATATAAACAAATTTATGCATATGATATTATCATTCAACATTATATTTTTAAGAGTCATCATGGGGCCAACAGATGGCCTAGTGGTTACATCACTGAATTCCCACCTTGATGACCATGGTACAAGTCCTGGATCCGATGGCTTCAAAATCAGGCTGGGCACATGTGCAGGAGTGCCCAAGATCCCGAGAGGAGAATGGATGGGAAGGGATTGTGGGGTGGCCATTCCCCTGGGGGGTGATTTCTCACTTTGTCTTTCACCGTCTCTGTCTCTCTCTCTCCCTGTCAAGTGCACACAGCCTAAGGCAAAAATCTCTTAAATAAATAAATAAATAAATAAATAAATACAAAGGCCTTACTTAGTCATGTCAGGAAAGGTCGGACTTTGATCCCTGGAGAGGAAACCCAGCCCACCGGTCTCCTCTCAGCCCCCGTCCCTGGGCTGGTTTTATCCACTCTTGACCCTGTGGCAGAGCTTTTCCACCGGGTGCTATAGGCTGAATGCTCCTTATCTGAAATGCTTGGGACCAGAAGTGTTTCAGATTGCAAATTTCTTTGGATTTTGGAATATTTGCATATGCATAATGAGATATCTAATGGGTGGGGCTCAGATTTAAACACAGCATTTAGGTCTGTTTCATACGCACCTTATACACATAACTGAAGGTCATTTTATCCAATATTTTTGTCCGACAACATTGGACTGTGACCTGTCACATGACATGCAAGTGTGGAATGTTCCACGGGTTGTGTCATGTCAGTGCTTTGGATTTTGAAGCTTTTTGGAGTTCAGACGTTCAGATTAGGGATGCTCAACCTGTAATAACCACCTCGTCTACTAACTCTGTCCTAGGAGTCTATCCTTAGAATGTCACATACATTTTTTTCACTTAATTCTCATGACAAACATTATGAGCTCAATTAGGGTACAAAAACTGAGGTTCAGAGAGGTGAAGGAAGTTGTCCACGATCACCCCATTTGTAAGTGGCATTTGTGAGGTTAGACCCAGGTCCATCTGACCCTGCCGGCTGCACGTCCATGCACCTGGCTGTAACCCCCGAACAAATGCAACCGCAGGGATGCTGAGCACGGCTCTCTTGACAGCTGACGTGGGGTTCCTCCTGCCGGGACCTCCCTCTGCAGTGTGGAGCCATTTCTGGAGTTGGCACCAAGAGTGTTGTACCCCTCGGGCTCCAGGTGTGACAGCCAGATCCCACACTCTCAACCCTTGTGCAGACATGAGTGCCCTGTCCCTCCTCACCCTACCCTGTCCTCTTGTCTCCTCTTTTCTTCCCGGCCCTGTGGCCCGGCCCTTTCGGAAAAATGACACCCCTTTTGATGACTAATCATAAGCCGGCAACACCCACTCTATAAAAGGAAGTCAGTGGGCAGGGCCTTCAGAGGCGGTCGGACGATCAGAAGGTGCTCGCCCAGCTCAGGCAGAGCTCTGAGACTCCAGCTGGACTTGCACCTGCTGCTGCAGGTCAAAAGGGCAAGGGCCAGGGTGACAGCACCATGTGGCTGCCCCCAGCCCTGCTGCTGCTCAGCCTCCCAGGTGAGTGCGGCTGGGGCCTGGGACTCAGTGCTGCAGGAGCAGGGCAGGGGGCAGAGGGCATCTTCCTCCCATTTGGGTGTGCATCAGGCCCCGAGGATAAAAAAGAGGAGTAGGACAGGCCATTAAAGGGGACCTCAGATGGCATAGTGGGTGAGACATGCATAGAAATTACTGAGTCATCAGAAAAATCGTGACTCTTTTTCTTTAGTTCTATGCAAAAAATGCATCATGACTTTTCAGACAACCCTTATAAACAGAGGCAGGACAGAAAAGGCACGGAGGGAGGTGTGTTCAGAGGGAGAAGCAGCCTTCTGGGAAGCGAGAGAAAGTCCTAGGAGGCCGTCCACATGGCGCACCTTGAGGGAAGAGATCAGCCCTTCAGGCAGGCAGAGAAGTGCATTCCAGGGTGAGGGGACAGCTTGTGCAAAGCACAAGGCTTAGAAAGGATGGTGCCGGCACCAGCAGTTAGCGTAATGGCTATGTCGCTGGACTCCCATGTAGTCGACCACGGTTCACGTCCCAGACCCGGTGGCTTAAAACTCACGCCAGGTGCGTGTGTGTGCATGCCCAAGATCCCGAGAGGAGAATGGAGGAGAAGGGATTGCGGCGTGACCATCTCCCTGGGGGGGTGATTTCTCGCTTTCTGTCTCTCTGTCTCTCTCTGTCTGTCTGGCGAGCGCACGCGCCCTATAGCAAAAACCTCTCCAAAATAAAAAAGAAAGGACGGTGCCCTCAGATGGCAGGAGCCCTCAGTGTGCAGGGCACTTGGGTGACTATCTGGACAGGAAGCGCAAGTCAGGATTATGAAGGGCCGTAGACACCAAGCCCAGGAACCAAGACTATCGAGGAGAAAATTGCTTGGGAAGGCAGGAGGGTCATGGGAGGGGCTGGAGGTTCCCTGCTCCTCAGTGGAAAACTGCTGTGGACGTCCAGGGGACACCAGGGACAACCCCGGAGTTAGAGCAGAGTGTTCAGTGTGTGTGGGTCACGCGGTCCTTTCTGTGGCCTGGGGACTGGCCATCTGGCACAAACAGACCAGCCCGTGGAGAGACCGCAGGAAGGGGAAGGGTAGGGAGTTCCCAGACCTGAGTCCCAGTCCTGCTTGGGCAAATCCTTCCTTGTCCTAAGACCTGGGCGTCTGGAGAGAATGACAGTCCAGGAAGTCCTGCCACCTCGAAAGCAGTAGGTTCTACTCAGATTGGCCAGGAGTACGTCAGGGCTGCGGACACTCCCCGACGTCACGCTGTGACTGGGGACCTTACTGGTAAAGGTGGAGAAGCCCAGTGATGATGCCGATAGACTGGCCACGAGGGCAGAGCCGTGTTAATTCAGC